GAGGAGAGGAGAGGAGAGGAGAGGAGAGGAGAGGAGAGGAGAGGAGAGGAGAGGAGAGGGTGAGGTACAGAACAGGATCAACAGGATCTTAGAGAACTTCAGAAGTTCAAAAGGATTCGTGACTCCTATCTGTACATTCTTCACTCCACAAAGGTGGTGGGGTAGGGGAAACAAACCACTTCACAGAGAAGGTGGAAGCTTGCCAGGAGCCAGAGGTGAACCTTAGCTGAGCTGAGTTGTTATTGAGTTCATCACAATTGTCATTTGCACTTCAAGGGCCTCTACTTCCAAAGCTTTACCCAACTTTTAGTAAAAGCCTGGGGGTTGGGAAAGGTAGCCAGAGAAGGTAAAACTGTAGGGAAGGGGAGCTCTTGGATGCTGGTCCAGGGCAGTCTATAGCAGGAGAGACAACCAAGGGGAAAGGGCCCTGCAGGAGCTCTAATGTGCTGCAGGGCAGGCCAGGCTTCTTTTGGCAATCTCTATCTACCTGTGACAAACACTGCTGCTCTGAACAATGACAGGCCTGGGAAGAACAAGAAAAGGAGAAGTATAGCACTGGACAGAAGAGAAAGCACAAGGATGAAGGAGAGGAGGAGCATTCTGTTTTGGAGCTGGTCTTCTCCACCTGCATCCAGTTGTCAGGATAATCCTGACCTCCCCAGCTCTTCGGCACATAACTGTGTGATTTAGACAAAAGTACTTAAGTCTCTGATCCTCAGTCTCTTCCTCTTCAGAATGAGAATTATTGCAGTGGCCTACTTTGTAGGGTTGCTGGAAGGGTTAGGCAAGAATACACACAGGAGGGCAGAGGAGATAGTCCAGCAGTTGAGAGCACTGGCTGATAGATCACAGGGTTCAATTTCCAGTACCCACATGGCAGCTTACAATTGTCTATAACTCCAAGACTGGACACCCTCACACAGACTTACATGCAGATTAAACATCAATACACATAAAATAAATCATTATTTTAAAAAAAATACATATAAACCATTTCATTCAGTGCTTGGTGCATGGAAGCTTATTATTACTTTATTATCATCATTGTTATCCCCATTGTCCCTTCAAAGGGAAACTGCCACGACCTCTAAACAGGGATTAAAGGAACCAGAAATGAGAAAAATGTTTCCATAAAACAGAAAACTCTAAACCTAGCCCATCCCACAGTGGTCTTGGGAACAGGGAGGCTGTCTCAGGCCCCCTCCTGCCTGCTCTAATCTACAGGGAGACACTTACTGAGTTCTGACAACTGAGGCAGACAGTTAAACAGGACGTCAACAGCAGCCCCAGCAGCATTCCTCGTTGGGCCATCCTAGTTGAAAGCAGGTGCTGAGGAGCCATAACCAGGACCTGAGGGTACAAGCACAGAAAACAGAAGGTCAGGGCCTGGTTCCTTCCCACCATGATTCCCGTAACAGCCCTTACTCCACAAGTGTCAGACAGCTTCTGTACAGAAGTGTAACAGGCCTTCTACTGCTGCTACATAAATCTCTGTAGCTCCCATCTCCCATCACTTGGGTTTTGCCCTGGTTATAAATGCATGTGCATAACAGTCTGGCCCTTCCTTCTCCATTGACAGTATCTGGGCTTATAGATTAGTGCTACTGGCTGTGGTGGAAAAAACGGAAATTATCCATCTGAACTACATGTGAACAGATACAGGACCAGGTCCATATCAGTATCTGTAGCATCCTCTTTTAACCACACCCATTATCACGGATGACAACAGACAGCATCAGCATCAGCAGCAAAGCTCAACATTTCCAAGCCACAAAATCTTCTGGACTGCTCTTTAAATGACCAAACAAATCATAGCATAATTATTAGTAGATGTTAATAATTTTAAAACATAAGGACAGAAAGATGTCCTATATTTATAGATTAGAGACAGTATTGTTAAGATGACAATCCTAACCAAAACAACATACAAATTCAATGTAATTGCTATCTAATCTCATGGTGTTTTCTGCAGTTCCCATCATCCATGTCAGGTGGCTAACAATCGCCTGTAACTCCACCTCCAGGGAATCTAATACCATCTTCTGGCCTCTGCAGCACCTACACTTCTGTGTACATACACACACACACTGACACACTAGTACATGTGGTTAAAATAAAATAAATCTAAAACAAAACAGATAACAAACAAACAAAAATTCTACATTTAAGCCAGGTAGGAGGATCAAAAATTTAATGCCATCCTGGATCACATAATAAGACCATGTCTTTAAAACAAAACAAAAAGCTACAGATAAAATTGCTATACAGCCAGAAATACACCTATGGTAGATTTCTAACCCAAGTACTCACCAACAAATAAAGAGATTTAGCCAGCCTTAACTATACAATGAGTTCAAAACCAGACTGCATATGTAAGATCTTATCAAAAAAGAAACACACAAAAATTTTTAAATCTACTATACACATACACAAAATGGACTATTACTCAGTCATATAAAAAAAGAATGAAATTGGGTACGTACTGGAACACAAAACCCCAAAATATTACATCAAGTGAAATAAGCCACATACGGAAGGACATATATCATGTGATTTCACCTTCATGAAGTATCTAGAAATCATAAAGGAAGGAACATCTGTCTTCAAGTGAGTAAAGGAAAGGGACAGCAGGGAACTATGTTTAGTAGAGAGTCTCTGTAGAGTAGTAATAAAATTTGTAATACAAGTTGGACATCAAGACAACTTTACCCAAACTAGCACATAGTCTAGGAGAGGCAGGAAGAGAAACAACACTAAGTCAGAGTGACAAAGCTCAGAGGGATTCTGAGTGTGTTAGTCCAGACTCTCGGAAGATGTCTCACGAGGAACGACAGCCTGATGCCGCTCCCTCCAGTCACTTGCAGCGGTGTGACTGAATCAGCTACAGAGGAGTGTATCTGAAGACTATGCTGTTTACATTTCTCTCCTACCCCTGCCATGCTCTACCTGCTTCAATTTGCTGGTTCTGTGACACTACGACAGCACAATGGACCCACTCTCTGAAGTTATTGCCCTTTGACCAGCCCATGTCTTCCCAGGGGCAGACAGAAACCTTCCCTAAGGACATCTGCAGCCCTAAAAGAAAACATCCCTGCTGGACCAGCACTGTGCTAAAAAAGCACAGCCAAACGGAAAAGCAAAGGCTTAGGGCTAAAAATAGCTGCTACACTCACCCAGCAGCAACAGCTTTTGCTTTCTGCCTGTCTCCCTTTCCATTTTTTTTTTTTATCACAAAATGGAACTGCTGAGTGCCACACAAGTTCCTCCCAGCATCCTGGCTTCCCGGGGCACCAATCACACTGAGGGACAGAGAATGAGTTCACAGCAACTGCACTGTTCTGAGCTGGTGCCTGTCCATATCCAGGGTGATGGAAAGGGGCCAGGCTGGCTAAGGATGATCAAGGGAAGAGACTACCACACTAAGAGAAGCTAGGGAGACAAGAGATAGGTCTCAAGAGGACACAGCCCTGGATCTCCCAAATGCCTTTTATCTTTCTTATCCCTACAACCTTGACTTGAGAGTCAGGGTAATGTGAGGGACCTAACATTATCAGAATATAAAACAAAAGAAAACAGTCAGGCATGGTGGCTCACTTCTGCAATCTATACCCTTGGAATGGAAAGCTCAGTCAGGAGGGTAATGGCAAGCTCAAGGCCAGTATGCTGGACCTCAGAATGAGATGCTATCTTAAAAGCAAAGAAAGGAAGGGAGAGAAGGGAAGAAAAAAAGAAAGCACACTAACCCCAAAGCTACAGATGTCCTTCCTTGTGTGACAGTGCTCATGCATACATGCATGTGCACACACAGTCACATGCTCCCTTCCTACAGCCAGGGTAAATGTGGAACTGGCAATAAGACAGACTGATGAGAAGGAAAAAGTCAAGGGCAAAATGAGAAATGAACAAGAGGCCCAGAAGAGACTGAGGAACAGTAGGTGGGGGGTGGCCGAGCACATGTAACAGCTTCTTTATCTCCTAGAGAATGAAGGGGACCAGAGGGCAGAGGAAAGGCAGCTCCACAGGGCTCTCATCTCCTCTGTCTTCCACACACTCATGCAGCAACAGCGTTTTCTGCCAATACAGACAATGAGAGATCAAGTGCAGATGGATGCTTCATCTCCCCACAACAATCCCACAAGGACCACACAGCTGACCTACTTATTGCCTCCACTTGTTTCCCCACAGAAGAGAACAGGCACGGAGTTAGGAGTGGGCCACTGTGAAAACTGAGGAGAGATCGAGCTGAGGTGGGGTCACATCAAAGGAATAGGTTTCCCAGGCTTTGGAGGGATAGCCAGAGAACAAATAAAAAATCTGTAGTATGTAGCAGAGGTAAGTGTCTATCCTTTAAGGCCTGGCCTGCAGCCATGTCACTTGGTTTCAGTAGAAAGAATGCAGGCAAAGCTTCTCTTGAGCTTTGGCTGAAGCCAACAGAGAGGGAGAAAGAGCAAAGTGAAAGCAGACACAAGCTGCAGTTTGCTAGGATGATCTGAGAACAAGCAGGCACCCAGGCATCTGGGACCACAAAAGAAAACCTGAACATAAAGCCAAAGTCATGGCATTCCACAGGCCTGAGAAGAATACCCTCCCAAAGCGCTTGCCACTCACAAGCCCGAGTTCACCCTTCAGGGCCTGCCAAACAAACCCTCCCATCATGCTTGGCCTTCACAGAGAACAGATCTGCAAGCTTTACATTTATGGCCTTCATCCAACTTAAAGCACCACTCAATCCAGGAAAAGGGAAACTATTTCAGTGTCTCCAGTAACTTTTTCCTTAAGTACCCTTGGGCTCTGAGACAGGGAGATAATAAGGTACTTGAAATGGCCATTTCTCTATCAAAACTGGCCATTTGTAGGCGGTGCCTCTACTTAAACAGAGATCAGGAGTTCTCAGCAATCTGTATTGTCAGTTTACTGTAGCCCAGAACAGACGTTGGGGAATGGATGAGGAGCGGCTGCCAAGCTCCCACCTCCCTGGCACCTCGTGCTGTTTTGTCCTCAGCTCCATTCACACAGACTGGGGAGAAGTCTGGGCCCTGTGTAAACAAGACAACCTCCAGTAACTTTAGTCTTTTCTGAGAAAAGAAAAAAAAAAGAATAGAAAGAAGACCGAAGGAAGCCAGTAAAGACAGAGAGGGGGACTGCGGGTACCAGGCAGGTTCTGACAGGGCTAGCTGACCCAGGCAGATGGTGGCTGCTCCAAGCCACAGGAACAGTGCACAGGAGAAACCAGAGAAATGTGAAAATGTCCAGTACACAGCCGGCCATATCACTAGCTCACCTTCGTGGCTCTGGTGTTTGGTCCTGCCTACAGTATATGGAAACATTGTTTCCTTCCATATTCTAGAAGAAGTGAAAGGGCAAGAATTTCAAATTTCATTTTATAAGGAGGAAACAGGAAAAAAAAGAGACAACAAGATTGGGTAGAAAGTATAGCACAATGACTTAGAGTCATATAGACCCAAAAAGATCAATTTTGACAAACTCCTAGCTACATGACCTCAGACACAACTTTGGAAAGCCATCAGGATAGCTCAGTGAGTAAAGGCACTTGCCAACAAGCCTGATGATCAGAGTTCAATCCCAAGGACCCACATGGCAGAAGGAAAGGATTCCCACTACTGTCCTCTAACCTTTACACACATCCTAAGGCATAAGGTACCCAAACACACATACAAAATAATAAGTGTAATACAAAATTAAAGACACAACTTCACTAAGCTTTACTTTTTCACCTATAAAATGGATACAGTAAGAGTTTCTATGTCAAAGAATGGACAGGAGAATTAAGTAAGTAATGCATGAAAAGTGTTTAGTATATAGCACCTGGCACTTAACTATCCTCCATCACTGGTACAGTAATTATTGTAGTCCCTGACCCCACAGCCAACCAGGGCAGGCCACTAACCTGGAAATCACATTCTAGAGCCCACATCTCTTCCAACTAGCCCACAGGCTTTTTGTTGAGTACCTGCTCCCAGGAGGTAAAGTCAATAGATGTTAATGAAAACCCCCGCACCTGAACATGGCCAGTTTTGAACCAAAATCCCAGGGCAGACCTAATTCACTCAGAGCTTCCTCAGCATACCAGCATCCAGACAGTCAGACCCAAGCACACAGAACTGCCAGCTGCAGGAACAGCTGTGAAACCATCCCGTGCTTTGCAAACTGAAGGTTAGAGGATGAGCTCTTCCCACAGATACACTCATTACTATTTATGGGCTGTATGAACGCACACACAGTCACTCACCTCTCCACAAACAGAAGCTAACCACCTAATTTAAGCAGGCAAATATGAAACGTAAAGAGGAGACTGAAAGGACAGCTCTGACATGGAAGAGCAATGTACT